GAGGTGGGAGGCACAGGTGGAGAAGGCCCTCCAACGGCCGGTGGCTGAAGGAATGCTAAAGACAGCCAGGGTGATGTGTCCGTAGGAGAGCATGGTGGCCACCAGTGGGAACACCAGGATGATGAAGGCCAGGATGAAGTCCACCAGCTCCGCAGTCAAGAATTCTGTGCAGGCCAGTTTGAGGATGGGCGAAATGTCACAGAAAAAGTGGTTCAAGACATTGGAACCACAGAATGTAGCACTGGATATAAAGTAGACCTTGATCATGGAGATGGTGAAGCCACTCACAAAGGAGAAGGCCACCAGCTGGACACAGAGACCTGTGGTCATGATGACTTGGTAGCGCAGGGGATGGCAGATAGCCACATAGCGATCATAGGCCATGGAGGCCAGGAGCACACACTCTGTGCAAACTAGGGAGCTGAAGAAGCAGAGCTGAGTCATGCATCCCACAAAGGAGATGCGCTTCCGCTGAAGAAGGAAGCCATCCAACATCTTGGGGATGATGTTTGACATGTACCATATCTCCAAGGATGACATGGAGCTCAGAAAGTAATACATGGGCCTATGGAGGGAGGTTCTGCTCCAGATGGTGAGGATGATGGCCAGGTTCTCCACCAGGACAAAGAGGTAAATGAACAGGAAGATGAGGAAGAGCACGTACTGCATCCCGGGTGCCGAGGGGAAGCCCACCAGAATAAAGGTGCTGACCGTGGTGACATTCTCCCCCCTCATTCCTCTGGGCTTGGGAGCTGCAAGTCTGCAAAACATCACCATGGCAGAATAAAAGGCTGAAGGGCAGCTAGGGGAGAGAGAATCAGAGCTAACTCTCGAGGGTGAGATTAGGTCCTGTTTCCAAAGACCCCCCGGCAAAAAAAAAAAAAAAAAACAGACTGGTTGCCATTGAGTAGATTCAGACTCATAGCGACCCTAAAGGACTGAGTAGAACTGCCCCATAGGGTTTTCAAAGAGTGGCTGGTGGATTCAAACTGCCCAACTTTTGGTTAGCAGCAGAGCTCTTAACCACTGCTCCACCAGGGCTCCACTTCCAAAGATGAGATTCCCAGAATTCAGGAGCCGCAGGACAGAGCAATCATATATTCATGTGCCAAGTTTTAAGTAGAAAAGTCCTCTGTGCTAACATTTAGATACAGTTAAGGAGGCAGCTACCAGGGAGAGAAGATATGCTGACAAATCAGCATTTGAAACTAAAGGAGGGAGGCTGCTTACTTTATTTACTCTGTGGTTTGGATCTGGAGCCTAATTTAAAAAGCAAGCAAGCAAAAGCATGCCTTGGATTTTCTAGCTTTTGCCAACATTCCTCCCACCCCCACCACTGTCTCAATCATGATGAAGATTTATTAACTCTCCCCGCTAAACTTTCAGAGATGGCAAGGCTGGTGTTCAATCCCTGACGTTCTGTGCATGTCATTGGAAGTTTTCCACAGAGAAGGAAAATTGGGTATAAACTGGGACCCTGTCCATGACTTTCCCTAGAGGACGAGTCCTCACGGTCTGAGAAGCCACTGTAAGTGAACGTGATTTGTCAAAGTGTCTCTTGCTCTGTGTGACCCAGCTGCTCCCACCTCCACCCTATATCACACACACACACACAAGAAATGGCTAAGAATGAGTTACCTCAGGGTACAGTTTTGAGTTCAGGAAGACATGGCTGTCCCCAATCAATTTCAAGGACTTAATGATTCCTTTAGGATGTCAACGGAAACCTAACCTCTCCGTTAAGGGCAAAGCAGTCATAATCCCCTTCCATTAAAAGGGTCTCCGTGTTTAATCCTGAATGTTTCCTCTCTGGACGCCAGCTGGGAACACGACGGCGATCTGTCCAGCTGAGCAGGCTTCCCAGTCCACAAGGACTGGGGCTCCTTAGAAGGTAGCGGCCCAAGCCATTTACTGGGCTTGTCTGGGGGGCTCCAGGTCTCATGCTCCTCATCCCTCTGGGCAGCAGAGTCCCCTCCCCAGATTTAAGCTGATTATTTGGGCAGTAGAAAATCCTGTGGAGCAGTTCTACTCTCTAACACGTGGGGTCACCATGGGTGGGGGCGGATTCAACAGCTGATAACAACAAAATGATCATTAATGAGTTGGCGACTTAATCACTAGATTGGTTGCTTAAACACAAAAATTTTGTTTATTTATGAAGTCAGGGGTCACTAGAGGCTATTCTCTCCTTTACCTGAACTTTCCGCAGTGGCTGTATTTTCTTTTTAAATAAACTTTCTGTTTTGGAATAATTTTAGAGAAAAGGGGCAAAGACAGTGCAGAGCATTCCCATATCCCCTTCACCCAGCATCCCCTGAGGTTCACATCTGACACAGCTAGGACACATTTGTCAGAACAAAGAGATTAACACTGGTACAATCCTGCCTACCGCATCGGGCAAATCTGCTGCAAAAGACCTCTTGAAAATGTTAAAAAGCAAATATATCGTCTTCAGTACTAAGGTACACCTGACTCAAGCCATGCTATTTTCAATTGTTTCATATGCATGCAAAAGCTGGACAATGAATAAGGAAGAAAGAAGAAGAATTGATGATTTGAATTATGGTGTTGGTGAAGAATATTGAATATACCATAGACTGCCAGAAGTACAGACAAATCTGTCCTGAAAGAAGTATAGCCAGAATGTTCCTTAGAAATGAAGATGGCAAGACTTCGCCGCATGTACTTTGGACATGTTATCAGGAGGGATTAGTCCCTGGAGAAGGACACCATACTTGGTAAATTAGAGGGTCAGCAAAAAAAGGAAGACCCTCAACAAGATGGATTGACACAGTGGCTGCAACAATGGATTGAAACATAGCATTGTGAAGATGGCGCAGGACTGAGCAGTGTTTTGTTCTGCTGTGCATGGGGTCAAAACAGACTCGACCGCATCTAACAGCACAACAGCATTACTATCGATCAGACTCCAGGCTTTATTTGGATGCCACCATTTTTTTCCCACCTATATACTTTTCCTGTTCCAACACAGGATCCCACATTGTGTTTAGAATGTTGTATTTTTAATTTGGTTGTTCTTTCCTGGCCCTCGTACAGAGACTGTAAGGTTAACTGAATTTGAATGAAGAAGCCCAGGGTACTCTCATCATAAACAAAGTTCTCCAAGATACTACAGAGATAAAGTGTTTTCCCAGTTAGCAAATTCAAACACAGAATTTTTAAGAAAATCTAAGAGATAAGAGTGAAGATTTCTGTACCCCAGACAGGACATCTTTTTAGGGGTCCATGAGTGGTGCAGTGGTTAAGAGCTACAGCTGCTATCCAAAAGGTCGGCAGTTCAAATCCACCAGTCGCTCCTTAGAAACCCCATGGGGCAATTCTACTCTGTCCTATAGGGTTGCTATGAGTCAGAATCGACTTGATGGCAATGGGTTTCTTTTTTTTATGGGTCGAGTGGGGTATCACAGTCATGGCTTCCTCTGCCCCTGCTTGAACCACCCACCTACGGCCACCTGCTAGGACACCTTGTCTTGTACCTGCAAAACCACCTAGCTCAGGCTGAGATAGTGCTGGACTGGGGATGGCTGTGCTCTGCTTTATTTGGTCCATGGAGACTCCGTGCTGGGTTTGGTAGCAATGCTGGGAGCTAGGATCCAGCATGGCATCCATGGATGTGAGGCCCAACTGCAGAGCACTGTGGGCCACTGGGCTGGGTGCCGGTGAGGGGGCTGCAGAGGGGAGGCCTGACCAGCCCCTGCCCGAGTTGGAGAGTCATGTGGAGTGGGGGCTGTCAATCACACACATACTCACAGGCGCAGCTCTCCACCATGCAAGTCTGCAAAGCCCTCGAAAACCGCAGCAGGACAAGCCAGTCGCGGGGTGGGAGCACAGTTCTTCCTGGGGTTGGGAGGCCTCCCCTTGAACTGCTGTAGCTGTCCACAGGAGCGAGGGGTACCTGTGTCCCACAGCCCCTGCCTGACCACAGGGACCAGATGCAGCTCCAACAAGCTGGTGAGAGGTGGGCTGGCTGAGGAGCTGGGGAAGGACAGGTGTGGCTTTTTCTACAGAGCATGGGGACTCCAGGGTCCAATTACTCAAGTGCAGAGGCTGATGCTCACACTGCCAATCATCAGGGCAGCCAGCCTCAGAGCTGCTGGGGCCAGGCAGCCCATAGGGCATGGGGACACAGGAGCCCCTGAGCCAGAGGCCTCGGTTTGGGTCCATCACTGGCTACCCAGGCAGCTGCCTCCTGCACAGGCTGGAGGAGTCGCTGTCCCTGGTCACCCGAGGCCCTGCTCTCAGCAGGAGTCAGCAAATGCCTATGCTGAGAACTAGGCCACACCTCTGTAGGGCACACGCCTCTGTAGCAGGAGTGGGGTGGGATAGAGGGACTGATTATGAGGCTGGGGGGTTGAGGCTAACACCAGCGCAGAGGGTGCCCCCGTCAGCCCGCCCTACACACAGCCATCAGGGACCCTGACAGATGCTGGGATGGGGTCTCTGCAGAGGACTAGCTGTGGCCTGCAAGCCCACGAACTGGCCTCGGCTTCTTCTCTGCTCTTCACTCTCCTGGCTCTGCCCTGCTCCCCCCATTCCAATCCCACTGTCCCCCGATGGTCCTCACACAGGCCTGGAACCAGTCTCCTCCCTCGGGGCTTTTGGACTCACTTTTCCCTCCCTTTGGAATGTTCTTCCCCAGATGTCTGCCTGTCTCCCTCAGTCCCTTTTTCCTTCCCGCACCCTCCCCCATTCATGAATTTCATACTCTCATCCCCTGTGGGATCAGTTTCCTAGCTGCTTAACAAAATGACTCAAACTGAGCAGGTTAGAGAACAGAAATGTATTCTGTCACAGTTCTGGAGGCTGAGAGTCTGAATTCAGGGCGTTGGCAGGGCCGTGCTCTCTCTGAAGGCTCTAGAGGAGGATACTTCCTTGTCTCTTCTGATTCTGGTGGCTCCAGGCATTCCATGGCTTGTGGTCACATCACGCCTCCGTCTTCACATGGCCTTCTCTTGAATGTTTCAAATCTCCTCTGTGTATCTCTTATAAGGACACCTGTCATTGGATTTAGGGCCACCCACCTAATCCAAGGAAGAGGAAGACCCTCAATGAGATGGATTGACACAGTGGCTGCAACAATAGGGTCAAGCATAACAACAATTGTGAGCATGGCGCAGGACCAAGCAGTGTTTCGTTCTGTGGCACAGAGGGTTGCTATGAGTCGGAATCAGCTCGATGGCACCTAACAACAACAACAACATCTGATCCAGGAGGATCTCCTCATCTCAAGATCCTTCACTTAATCACATCTGCAAAGAGCCTTTTTCCAAATAAGGCCACACTGATGGGTCCCAGGATTTTACGTAGACTTATTTTTGGGGGGCCACTTTTCGGCTTCCACGGCTGCTGTAGTTTTTCTCCTGAGCATGTATCACCTAATGTCATGCCGAGAGTTTTACTTATATATACTGTGTCTCTTCTCTTTCCCTTAAAAGGATGTGAACTCTAGGAGGGCTGAGATTTTTGTTTTTTGTTTTTTGTTTTTACTTTTTTAATTGTACTTTACATGAAGGTTTACAGAACAAACTAGCTTCTCATTAAACAGTATACATATTGTTTTGTGACATTGGTTGCCAACCCCACGACATGTCAACACTCTCCCCTTCTCGACCCTGGGTTCCCTGTTATCAGCTTTCCTGTCCCCTCCTGCCTTCTTATCCTTGCCCCTGAGCTGGTGCACCCATTTAGTCTGTTTTTGTTTTATGGGCCTGTCTAATCTTTGGCTGAAGGGTGAATCTCAGGAGTGACTTCAGTAGTGAGTTAAAGGATGTCCAGGGGCCATACTCTTGTGGTTTCTCCAGTGTCCATCAGACCAGTAAGTCTGGTCTTTTTTGGTGAATTTGAATTTTGTTCTACATCTCCAGCTCTGTCTGGGACCCTCTCTATCTGGGACCCTCTAGTGTGATCCCTGTCAGAGCAGTCGTTGGTGGTAGCCGGGCACCATCTAGTTGTGCTGGACTCAGTCTGGTGGAGGCTGTAGTAGTTGTAGTCCATTAGTTCTTTGGACTAATCTTTCCCTTGTTCTTTGGTTTTCTTCATTCTCCCTTGCTGTAGATGGAGAGGGCTGACATTTTTTTATTGTTTTGTTCATGTTTGTTCCTCAAGTGCCCAGATTAGTGCTTGGCACATAGTAGGTGCTTGAATGGTTGGATGGATAGATGATAGATAGATAGATGATAGAAGAATAGATGGCTGGATAGATGATAGGTAAGATGATAGATAGATACAAGGATGAATGAATGGATGGATAGATGATAGATAAGATAGATAGACAGATAGAATGGATGGATGGATAGATAGACAGATTGATAGATTGATAGAAGAATGGATGAATGGATAGAAAGATGATAGATAAGATAGATAGATGAATGGAAGGATGGATGAATGGGTGGGTGGATGGATGGATGGATGGATGGATGGATGGATGGATGGATGGATGAGTCAGTAACTCATGACCAGAGTGGTGTATGGATGGAGGAGACCAGGGGTTTCCCAGGGCAGTTATCACTTCCTGGCCAAGCTGTGGTGGTGGTGGGGATGCTGGCTCTTGGGAGTTCTGTAGGTAGCTCCCAGCACAGTAAATGTTAGCTGAAAGCATTGTTTGGGATCCCAGGCTGATGGGCAACACATGATATTCTTACCTGGGACTCGTGCCCATTCTCCAAATGATGGAGGGTCCCATTGTCCGATGTGGTGAGTGGGACGTGAACAACCAGCTGCACGTGGAGACATGTAGGAGACTTCCCACCATGATCCTCAGAAGGCTCAGTTCTCACTCTGCACTGATGAAGGGCTGCCAGAGGGGCACATGGGCTCTGGGCAACATGAGGAGCTGGGGATGGACAGGCAATATGCCAGGAACAACATGGGGATGTGAAACACTTGAGAGGATGGGCAGAGAGGCAGAATTCACACGTGAGACTTGCAAGGGATATTCTACAGAGTTTTCTTGGCTGTAATAATTATGGAAGCAGATTGCCAGGCCTTTCTTCTGTGGTGCCACTTGGTAGATTTGAACTCCTAACCTTTACATTAGTAGTTGAGCATAAATCTTTCGTGCCACCCAGGGACTTTGGATGGTGGACAGGTAAGTTAAAGTGACACAATACCCTTTTACCAAAATTCAGCGATTTCCTTTTCCATTAAGCATTCCTCTGGTTTTTGTAAGCTTTGAATAGATTCAAGAACTCCAAAAAAGTTGACTGACTTTCAGATCATTCTGACAGAGTTTTGGAGTGCCCTACTCCATCATTTTCAGGGACATCTCTTTTCAGTGTTTAAAACATTGTTCCCAGTTGTCTGATATACTGGGTTTTGAGCTCTGGGGTTAATCAGAGTTTCCTGGGTAGCTGTTTAACTTTTCAAGGTTCTCTAAAGATGCTTGGGCACCACATCCTGAGATCCTGTTCCTGAAGATCTGAGGCAAGGTATTCAGCACTCTGCCTGTGAGTCTGTGCACCTCCCGCCCCCACAGAACACCCACTCTAAGATATGGGCTCTCTTTTCAAGACCCATGGGGCACAGTTTCTGGGGAATGATGCTGGGGTCTTGAGAGAGCTCCTGTTTTTTTTCCCTTGGATGGCTAGAAACTTCTCCTGAGCCTTGGGGTCTTAAGTCAGCAAATGTTTGTCGACTACCCACCAGATAACACACCGTGCTGGGCTGCAAAGATCCAACAAGGAATAAGACAAACATGGTTCCTGCCAACTAGGGTTTCTGCATGTATTACAGGTCACTCAGATGGCCTCACACAGTAATAACCTTTTTATTCTTGAAAAATCAGAGTGCAGTGGGAGTGAGTGTGATGGATGGAAAAAGGAGAGGCTGCTCTCCAGCTCAGAATCATTAGAAAAGAACAAGCCTAGAGTGTTTAAAACAAAGAGTTCATTGGTCTTTACAATTCCAAGGACTGCTTTGTTTTGAGAACACTTGGATTTCATTTCACCACATAGTCCAATATTTCAGGATCATAAAGCACCACAATTTATTCAGGATTTTAAAATCTCAGATGACCTAGTATATTTTGCTCTCTTTAAATGTGCAGGGTAATCTTAGAGGTAAGGAAATTTTATTAAACTTTACCAGCTTCTGCTCTGCTCATATATAAAATGCCGGAGGTTATGGTATTACAACACCAGCAACAATACCTATGATAATGATCTCCATGAGCTGAAACAGGAAAAGAGGTGTGAAAGGACTTTTAAAAATAACGAAGCACTACAACAATGTGAGGACCTTCATTATTACAAGTTCGAACATCCTCATCAGAGAGGCTGGAGTTTCTCAGCTGATGTTCTAGAAGGGTTGAATGCCAATGTGTGGCCTCCTATGGTAGAGCTAGACCAAAGCCCAAAGCCTTCTTCAAGGCATTCTTAAATTCTCTGTTCCTCAGGCAGTAGATCAAGGGGTTCAAGATGGGGGTGAGGACAGTGTACAAAACAGAAATAAGTTTGTTAGAATTTCGTGTATCAATGGCCTGAGGCCGGACATACATGAACAGCAAGGCTGTATAGAATATGGTGACCACGGTGAGGTGGGAGGCACAGGTAGAGAAGGCCCTCCAACGTCCAGTGGCTGAAGGGATGCGAAGGACAGCCAGGGTGATGTGTCCATAGGAGAGCACTGTGGCCACCAGTGGGAACACCAGGATGATGAAGGCCAGGATAAAGTCTACCAGCTCCGCTGTTGAGAAGTCTGTGCATGCCAGTTTGAGGATGGGGGAAATATCACAGAAAAAGTGGTTCAAGACATTGGAGCCACAGAACATAGCTCTGGAGATAAAGTAGATCTTGATCACAGATATAATGAAGCCACTCACAAAGGAGAAGACCACTAGCTGGACACAGAGACCTGTGGTCATGATGACTTGGTAGTGCAGGGGGTGGCAGATGGCCACATAGCGGTCATAGGCCATGGACGCCAGGAGCACACACTCTGTGCAAACCAGGGAGCTGAAGAAGTAGAGCTGAGTCATGCATCCCACGAAAGAGATGTGCTTCCTCTGGAGGAGGAAGCCATCCAACATCTTAGGGATGATGTCACACACATACCATATCTCCAAGGATGACATGATGCCCAGAAAGTAGTACATGGGCCTATGGAGGGAGGTGCTGCTCCAGACAGTGAGGATGATGGCCAGGTTCTCCACCAGGACAAAGAGGTATGTGAACAGGAAGATGAGAAAGAGCACATACTGCATCTTAGGGGCCGTGGGGAAGCCCACCAGAATGAAGGCACTGACCTTGGTGACATTCTCATCCCTCATTTTCTGTGCTTGGGAGCTGTGGGTCTGTAAAACAGAGTAAAGGGCTGAAGGGCAGCTGGGGAAAGAGAATCAGAGCTAATTCCCTAGAGTGAGATTAGGTCCTGACTTCCAAAGACCAGATACCTGATCTCTGGAAGAGGCATACCCAAGTTTAGCATTTAGTATCAGATTCTGTGTAGGTTCTAGATCTCCTTGTGATGGGATTACACTAAGATTCGGTTTCTGGAATACTCTGCCTCCACCCCAAGCAGCCCACAATGTTCTTGAAATTGTGCAATTTTCTGAAAAATCTAGATTCACCAAAGAATCTAATAATAATAAAGAAGTCCACTGCTCTCCACTTTTCCTTTTCCCTCACAACTGCTCCAGGTCATCTGGGTCTATAACTGGATGGCTAGCATTGTTCTTCAAGGAACCCTGGTGACGCAGGGGTTAAGTGCTCGGTGGCTAACTGAAAGGTTGGTAGTTCAAACCCACCAACCACTCTGTGGGAGAAAGATGTGGCAGTCTGCTTCTGTAAAGATTACAGCCTTGGGAACCCTATGGGGTAGTTATACCCCGTCACATAGGCTCACTATGAGTCGGAATCAGCTTGATGGCAATGGGTAGCATGTTCTTCTACACTAGTAGATGGTTGACCTTTTGCTTATTTTAGATTTGATTTTGTAAGAGAAAGTGACATAGGCAGGGCTCAAATGATAATAGGGTGAGCCTCATCCAGGTTAACTAGAACCCAAACCCAGACACATCCACAGTGCCAGAAAGTCTTCCATAGAGCAAGGGGCTCCCAGGCCAAGAAGAAAAACTGATCTAGTGTCTGTCTTTGTGCCATATCAAGACCCCTTTTAAAATACTGTAAAACAACAAAAAGACAAAACCAATAACATTAAATAAGTCCAGAGGGGACTATCAGCAAAGAAGAAATTTCAGCAAAGTTCTAGAAGAGAGCAAACAGACAGTAGGAAGAAATCTCAGCAAAGTTCTGGAAGAGAGCAAACAGACAGTAGGAATGTGTTTGAAGGCCTGTGGCTGAGAATGAAGGGCCTGGCAACCCACTTCCATAAGATTACAGCACAAAAAAACCCTATGGAGCACAGTTCCACTCTGAAGCACATGGGGCCACCATGAGTTGGATCAACTTGACAGCAAAGATTTGGGTTTTTTTTAGGGGGGCAGGTTTTGGTAGCTGAGGAAGGAACCATCTGCTTAGCACATGGCGAGTGTGATGGAGTGGGAGTGAGAATGGGAATGGGAACAGGGGATGAATATAGACTGTTTCCAGAACAGTCCAGGAGCTGCCCCTGTAGGGCTCTCTCCAGCTCCCTTGTGGGGGTTGGCCACCCAGAGCCTGCCTCAGTGAAATAAAGGAACAGCTACCTCCTCCTTATCAAGTGCCAAGTATTTGAATGTAGATCACCTCATTTAATACTCACCACGGTCCTGGAAAACAGGGGTTCCTATCTCCATTTTCAGATGAACAATATGAGGCCCAGGGGAGAGGTTGGTGGACTTACCAAAGTTCCCGGCCGCACCAGGGCACACACCAGGGTCTTTTAATCTCTTCCTGTCGGATATCAACAACAGAAAAAAATGAACCCATTTTGGTGTGGGCTACAAATTTGCAATTATTAAGGTGGATAGACATAGCTGCTGGCTGCCTTCTGACGCTACTCTAATAGGCTATAAAAACAAAAGCCCACAAAGTAGATAGCATTATTCAGAAGGAAAGGCAGAGAATACCTTTCAAGAAACAAGTACAGGGATGTGGAAAATAGATTAGTTAAAGCAAATATTCAAATTAATGAACAAAATCGTTGGCAACAACCTAATTTTTCATCAATAAGGGACAGACTAAGTAAGTTTTGTCACATCCATAGTAACAAACACTAAACAGTCATTGAAAAGAAAGGGAAGGGCTAGCTACAGATACGGAATGATTTCTGAGCTATACTGTTACGTTTTTAAATGTTTAAACAGCGTGCTAGGAGCCTGGAGGTGCAGTGGTTAAGTGCTTGGCTGCTAACAGAAAGGTTGGCTGATTCGAACCCACCAGCCAGTCCGTAGTAGAAAGGTGTGGTAGTCTGCTTCTGTAAAGACTACAATCTTGGAAACCCTATGGTGCACTTCTACTCTATTCTACAAGGTCGCTATGAGTCAGAATCAACTCCAAGGCAACAGGTTTGTAGTATGCCTCCACTGGGATAAATAAAAGTATACGCTGGTGTAATGGATTGAATCGCACCCCCACAGAATATGTGTCAGCTTGGCTAGAGCATGATTCCTAGTATTGTGTGGTTGTCCACTATTTTGTGACCTGATGTAATTATTCTGTGTGTTATACATTCTCACTTCTATCATGTTAATGAGGCAGGATTAGAAGCAGTTATGTTAATGAGGCAGCACACAATCTACAGGATTAGGTTGTGTCTTGATTCAGTCACTTTTGAGATACGAAAGAGAGAAGGGAGCAGAGAGGAGAAGGATCTCCGACCACCAAGAAAGAAGAGCCAGCAGCCAAGCAGCACGTCCTTTGGACCCAGGGTCCTTACGCTGAGAAACTTCTAGACCCAAGGGAAGATTGATGACAAGGACCTTGCCCCAGAACTGACAGAGACAGAAAGGCTTCCCCTGGAGCTGGTGCCCTGAATTCATACTTCTAGCCTCCTAGACTGTGAGAATAAATTTCTGTTTGTTAAAGCCATCCACTTGTGGTATTTCTGTTATAGCAGCGCTAGGTAACTAAGACAACTGGTGAATAGTGTATGTGAGTAGGTGATCTCTGACGATCAGGCAAGATGCTGGGAACACTCCTCTCTGAGTGGGGAAGTAGGTCCCTGGACACAGGGGTGGCAGGTAGATGTTTTCACGATAAACCTTTTCCTAACTTCTAAATTTTGATTCATGTGCATGTATCTCGTATTCGAAAGAGTAATATATGATTTATTTTAAAATTATCTAAGTTTTCCTTTAAAAAGAAAAAGTTATGGATTGGACTAAAAATTCAACAATTCAGCGTTTTCCTAAACCACAGTTCCACATCTATGCGGAAAAACACATGTAGACTAAATGATTAAACTGGCATAAAGTGTGTTATTCAATATATGATGCTTTTAAAATCCTGAGCTACAAATTACAGAATAGTAACAAAAGCATGTGTTTCCCCAAAATGGCACAGAAACAACCCAAAAGGAAAACCTAAAAGAAATATGAAATAGAAAGATAAAGATCAGAGCACGGTAAGCAAGCACATGATTGAGACTCTAAGTATCTGAACATTATGTAACTAATATGAATTTATCAGAGCTTTGGAGAAAAATACACAGAAAATGTAGGGAATTGTTAAAACATCTTGTTGGTGCCTGGCACGTACCATTCCATAAATGGTAGCAATCAAGTGCACAAAGGTTGAATAAACAAAATATAATCAAATAGTTTTCTCATTAATACACTGATTTAAAACAAACAGCTTAAATCACGATGTGAGGCATCGTAGGATGGTACAAAATCAAAACCAAAACCCAAACCCGTTGCCGTCGAGTCGATTCTGACTCATAGTGACCCTACAGGACAGAGTAGAACTGCCCCATAGGCTTTCCAAGGAGTGGTTGGTGGACTCCTACTGCCGACCTTTTGGTTAGCAGCCCGGCTCTTAACCACTGCGCCACCAGGATGGTGTAAAGGGGAAATAAATTTAATTGAAGAGACATGCAGGCTTCCAGCCCTTGCTCAGGTCACGTCTTGTACCTGGAATGCTCCCATGCCCGGCCCTGCCCCCACAGGTCTGGGGAGTCCTGCTGTGGTCCTCCTCTGTGCTCCCATCACCCCATCCCCACCTCCATGCTCACTCCCACCCCTCTGTTTGCACTTGCCAATATTCTTGCTGTCTACCCACTAGACTGAAGCTCCCAAGGGCAGCTCGCTCACCACTGAACCTCAGAACCGAACACAGTTCCCCGCACAGGATAGGAATCTATGGACTCGGAAGAACGAATGTCCATGGGAAACATAAAGAAGAGAGTCTGCTGAAAGTAAATGTTTCAGCAAAAGATGGCAGATTGAGAGTACTTGTTTATTTCTACCACCACAACCACCTGCACCCTTTTCTCCTTCCTCTTGGACCCTAAATCCCAGAGACATGACTTAGACAATGTAAAAACTAGAGGGGAACCCTCCTCACACAGGAAGTTGGGGAAGGAAGTTGTCCAAAGGCCAAGAGGTTTGAAGGTGTTGCCAAACTCCTGCATTTGGCAGAGATAAAGTACTCATAAAGCTGACTTATAGGTCAGAGCTTCAAGGGGGCACTGTAGTCCCAGAGGACGTGGATGGCAGGAATCTGGACCCTCAGAGTCCCCTGGAATGGGAGGTGAGGGTGAGGGCTGGGTCGGGATCAGGCCATAAGACTGATGGAGGCACTGTTTGGGAGTCTTTTTTGTTTGTTTGTTTCCCCAACAGAATTTTTTTTTTCTTTTTTTATTGAACTTTAGATGAAGGTTTACAGAACAAACTAGCTTCTCATTAAACAGCTAGTACACATATTGTTTAATGACATTAGTTAACAATCCCATGACATGTCAGTACTCTCCCTTCTCAATCTTGGGTTCCCTATTACCAGCTTTCCTGTCCTCTCCTGCCTTTTAGTCCTTGCCCCTGGGCTGGTGTGCCCCTTTAGTCTCCTTTTGTCCTATGAGTGTGTCTAATCTTTGGCTAAAAGGTGAACCTCTGGAGTGACTTCATTACTGGACTAAAAGTGTGTCCGGGAGCCATACTCTCAGGGTTTCTCCAGTCTCTGCCAGGCCAGTAAGTCTGGTCTTTTTTTGTGAGTTAGAATTTTGTTCTGTGTTTTTGTCCAGCTCTATCCGGCACCCTCTTTTGTGATCCCTGTCAGTGCAGTCCGTGGTGGTAGCCAGGCACCAACTAATTGTACTGGACTCAGTCTGGTGGAGGCCATGGTAGTTGTGGTCTATTAGTCTTTTGGAGTAACATTTCCCCTTTGTCTTTAG